TCATTGTTCGAACAATGAAAAATTCCTGAAATTACAGGAGTCTGGATACTCTAGCCAAAATATTATTAGTAAATAACCATTACCTTATGGGCTGTATAATGAGCAGAAAGTTGCACAGACGTCATAGTTCTTCCGTGCTTCGAAAACGACGTAGGCACGTCGTGTGCTCGTCGTGGCGTAAATGGGAAACTCCCATTTTCGTAATATTCCAAGGGGAGGTTTAACCCATCCTTGCGCAGCTCTGTTTCATAACTATCTCGAGGCTCAACTGAATGTGGCGAATATGAAAAATCATCAGGATTCTCGAAATAAAAATCAGCCGGCAAGATTGGAGTTGACGATCGTGATAGGATTGGAGTAGTTGATCGAGATCGTCTCGACGTATTTGGAAAAAGAACGTTCATCATAGCATCTACACCGTCATTAACGAGATCGTTGGTGAGAAGCCCAAATCTATTTCGCAGAGCCGTAAGAGTCGTGGAACGATCATTGTTAATGTGATATTCTAAGTAATTTAATACTATATTAAGATCTAATTTTATAGAAAAATATATATATAAATAAATTAAATTTATCAGGATAATATTAATTAATAAATTCTAAATCAACCTTTTAGTAACTATATAGCGACAATATCGTAACGATATCGTCGCTATGTAGTTACTAAAAGTTTGATTCTTTTATAGATGATAATTTTTTTAAACAGGAATACCGGGTGAACTTTGAATTTCATATGATACTGGCTGCGAAACTGGTTGAGACTGTAATTGGTGAGATTGTTGGTAGGACTGTTGGACGGGAGGTTGTTGGATGGGAGGTAGTTGGATAGGAGGTTGTTGGATAGGAGGTAGTTGGATAGGAGGTTGTTGGATAGGAGGTTGTTGGATAGGAGGTTGTTGGATAGGAGGTTGTTGGATAGGAGGTTGCTGGATAGGAGGTTGTTGAATAGGAGGTTGTTGGATAGGAGGTTGTTGGATAGGAGGTTGGAATTGTTGAACAGGTTGAGCAGAGTAAGATTGTTGTTGAACGGGTTGGGTTGAAGATCGAGATTGTTGGACGGGAATGATTGAAGATCGAGATTGTTGGGCGTTTTGCGCTGTGGTTGGAGAAGATGGAACGTCTTGAGAAATAGCTCTTCGTTTTCTAGGAAACATTTTTTTTAGAAGTAATATTTTTGAAAAAAAAATTATAAGCTAAAAGAGAAAAAAGTTTTTCTTTTATAAAATAAATTCCAAAAATTCCGTCATGTAAAATTGCAATTTTTTTTTAAAAAAAAAATTTCGTTATACAAAAATTACGATTTTTTTTTTAAAAAACATTCGTCATGAAATTTAACACGTAAAAATTAATGCAAAATCTGTCGTAATTATAATGAGTTACAGCAAAAAAATCGTCGTAGCTTATTATAATTATGTCAAATTATGACAGCATATTTACTTCAGTTAGCAATTAATTCGGGTGTTAAATAATATTTATTACTTTTTTAATACTATTCAGGTTCAAAAATATTACAGTCAAACCTCCATATGCACTCTTTGGACCGACCATAAGTGTGCATTTGTAGAAGGTGTATATTTAGAGGATGCAATTATAGAAGGTATGTATTTATAAAGTTTGTTTGTATAGAATATAAACAAGTTCGATCGTTTAACTTCCCATGAAATACTTTAAAAAAAAAATTACAATAAAATTTAGGCTTTAACTGAGGCGTAAATTTGACTTGGGCAAGTAATATAAATATATAAATTAATTTTTTATATCTTTGGACTTCGGTCTTAATCGACTATTAGTTGTTTGATTACCAACACTAACCAGAACTCGACTAGAGAGTTGACATTAACCAGAACTTGACCAAAGAACTAGTTAAATGAAGTCGTTGGCTTGGAAGATTTTTTGAGGCTTGGAAATTTGCTGCAATTAAATAGTTTTCTTTATTAAATTCTTTAAAATTGCGAAATTTGTTAATGTATTATTTAAGAATATTTTAGCTATACAACTTAATAGAAAGATAACTAGTAAAAACTAAGAGCTGAGATATGGTAAAATTCAAAAGATTCACCATGTTGAATAGCACGAATCGAATTCCATTCAAACTGCCATTCAACACTATCACACGACTTCACGGACATGAATGTCCGTGAAATCATGTGATAGTGTTGAATAACAATTCGAATGGCAGTTTGAATGACATTCGAATCATGCCATTCAATAGAGCGAATCTTTTAAATTTTACCAGTGGAAAGGGCTTTGTATAAAGAAAATATCAGAAAAGAATGTAAGTAATTACTAACGGGAAGTATGAGGGCTTGCATTTTGGTAAACCACAGATCACATGAGCAAGTGCGAAGTAAATCAAACCGTAATTAATTATTTATTATTAAAGATTTTCACAGGTTTTTTTTTTAATAATGTCAAAAATTAATCTCATTATTTTTTAAATATAACTAAAAGTACAATTTTTAAAAACATACATAATTTTTTTATATCACCTTTTTATTAATTGATAGCTTTTATTATGCTCTTCTTGTTAATAACCTCAGTTTTACAAATTTAATATCTTTAAAATTAGTCAAAGCTCATTTATATTGTTAAAGAATTTATGACTTATAATAGAATAAATCCATTACATTAAATTATACTAGTTTAAGAAAAACTGTATGAAAATTGTTATTCGCAATAGTTTCAGATTTTCATAAAAAATTTTTATATGATTCTAATTAATGATAGTTTGATGATCAAAGACATTTACTAATTTTCCAAGTTTCAATTAAAATTTACAACAACAATTGCTTTTTTTTTTAAGTCATATTTATCACAAAAGTTCGTCTAAGAAATCGCTTTTTATGTCTAATAAAAAAAATTTCGTGCAAAATTTTAGTATATTGTTACAACTAACCCTAATCTAGTGATTAGACCTGGGTAGATGCAAACTGGGTCCAATAGAAAAATATAGACTATAAGGATATTAGGGATGTTAAGTGGTCCACGGGGAACTAGTTTGGGCCAAGTCCAAACCTGGACTTTTTAGAGACTAGTGGGACTAGTTCAAAACTAGTCCTATAATCTTGTGATCTCAAGGTCATTTAATTGGCTAATTTACGTCGATCTAAATACAATTATAATACTGAAATGAATTCAATGTAATTACAATTAAAACACAATACTCATTCACTATTGTTCTGTACATTTAAACCACTAGAGTAGGACTGGTTTTTATCTATTTTTTAACAGAAGGTGAACTTATTTTTAACTAGTCCTAAACCAGACTTTTGGGAGAACGGACCAGGACCAAACCAGACGCACCACTTAACATCCCTACACTATACAGCACTGCATATAGTATCGGTATCCTAGTCTTATACAAAAAAGCAAAGCTAAATTAAATATGGTATTGTGTGAGAGGAGAGTATGTAAGTTTATCGTAGTGATTCAGATCATGAACATAATACGTATCGGTATAGAATTTGTCATAATACATATGTATTAGAAAATACTGATACCTGATACATTTACTAATTACGTACATAAAGAAAATACCAAAAAACTTGTTTAATACTAGTAACCTGATACCATTTAGAGGGGGTTCTGTATGATAAGATTTTTTCAAGTTTATACACCTGATAATAAAGTTTTAGTGCTACACTGCCCTTTTGTAACAAACTTGATTGTTTTGAAAAATCTGGCTTATTTTAAGATTTACCAAACTACCAGTAAATTTTGAATGTTTGTTTAATATCTAATAATCTTGCAATATATATACATATGTATAGAGATGATTAGTTATCTTAAACATATATGTACTATTTAAAGTTGAAAAACAAAAACTTTAAAGAAAAGCTGAAAAAAAAATTTTTTTTTTTATACTGATAAAATAATTATAGTAATGCTTCCTTATAGTTTTCTTTTTATATGATATGATACCAATAAGCTATAAAGAATAAACATTATAGATTTCTTTACTAAAGGTGAATAAAAAATATAAAAAAACTTTATGAGATTATTTATCTATTCAAAACCGCTATGTATATGAGTTTTTTTTATACTGTAACCTTGACTTGGTATCATTTATCTCTTTAAAAGCATTAAAGCTATAGTAGTAAATTCTTACATATTTTAATTATTTTCGATAAAACATATTATTATAAACCTGCTTATTACTGAAACTCCTGATAAAAAAAATTTGTTTGCTTTTGTTCAGTTTTTGTCGATATTGTTTAAAAAAGTTCAGAATAGAGTCATTATAGTATAAAAACAGAACAAAAATTGCACATTTTTAGATTTTTCAATTATAAAAATATGTACGATTTTTGTTCTGCCTTTACTACAATAATGATTTCATTCTGAACTTTTTTGAACAATATCGGCAAAAGCTGAACAAAAACTGAACAAACTTTTTTTATAGGGACTATATTTATATATCAAGACAGATACTTGGATTATACTAGATAAAATATTTTGAGATCAAAAATACTGGATCTGGGTTGTTTAATAGTTAATATCTAATGCACTACGCACAAAGGCGAATGTGTATATTATAGTGTTCAGTTACCTAATATATAATAATAAGCTAAGGTTGATAAGAGAAAATTCATATGCTTCAATTAAGTAATATGATTGATCTTATTTTTTTTTAATTGTAACAGCTAAAACAATTATTTTAATTATAAATTCTTGCATCTTCCATCACTATTTTCAATAAAATATACTTAATGCTTATCATCAGTAATATGATCAACTTTTTTTTTTTTTAATTATAACGATAAAACAATTTTAAATATCTTAAATTATAAATTCTTGTATCTTTTCAATAAAACATGTTTAACGCTTATCATTATAAATCTGCTTATTATTGAAACTATACTTACACATTGAGACAGATACTTGTATAATACTGGTTAAGATAAGATAGGTTTATTTTGGATTAAATATACTAGATCTGGTTTGTTAAACAGTTAATAGCACTATGTGTATATATATATATAAGCATTAAGTAAGTTTATAACCTTATTTTTTTAAACAGTAAAACAATCACATCAAAGATCTTTAATTGTGTATAACTGGTAGTTTCGACCTAAAAAAAATTTTATTTTTTTTTAAATAATATAGATAACAACATGGAGGATTTATATACTGAACCTTATTCTGAAACTGAAACTATATCAACAACACCCTCAGCTTTAAGTGCTAATAGTTTAACCCAAAAGAAACGAAAAACCACTTTGTTATCTTCTAAAACAAAAACAAAACTTTGTAGTAATTGCAGTCATACAACTTATTTTTTTAAGGTAGATAAAAATGATTCTTCCATCGCTTATTGTAAAGTCTGTGATATTAATTTATCTGGCATATGACAAGCACCTTACCCATAACTATGAATCTTATTAATCACTTGCATGATAAACATGGTATTATGAAGAAAAACTATATGGAATATTTGGATAAGCATAATGAAGTATATATATATATATTATATTATATATATTTAAAAAGGTTATAGCATGATTTTCTAAAGCTATTTTTCTAAAAAGACATAATACAAACTAAGCAGCTAGTATTATAACAAATTTTAGCTAAACTTGTTAGCATTATATTATGTTTTTTTGGAAAAATAACTTACAAGAAATTGTACTATAAATATTTAAAAATTAAAAGTAATTTTTTAATTTATATTTTATTCCTTGACGTGATCAAGCCAAAATAACTGAATATACAAAAGCAGCAACTCATTGTACATCCAAACGGCAAGAGCTTATTACTCAAATGTTTATTACCTTTATCATTAAATTTGTTTAGCTATTATTTATTTTACAAAACACATCTTTTCGTGAACTTATTCTTACATGTGAGCCTGGCTATAAAATTCCATGTGACAAAACAGTTAAAGACATAATTCATGATTTATTTTTATTGAGTAAAGAATAGCTTCATTTACTTTTAAATAGTAATATTGTTGCTATTTATTTAACAACTGATTTGTGAACTACCAAATCACATCATAGTTATTTTGGTATAACAGCTACATAGTTAATATCAGATTTGGAATTTCATAAAGCACTCTTATTCTGCAATCATCTTCCATATCCAC